TATCCCCTCAATGCTGAACAACAGGATACCGTACTAAGACACAGCCTACTGACACCAAGCTGTCCTTGCTCTATCCCCTCAATGCTGAACAACAGGATACCCTACTAAGACACAACCGACTGGCACCAAGCTGTCCTTGCTCTATCCCCTCAATGCTGAACAACATGATGCCCTACTAAGACGGAGCCTTCTGACACCAAGCTGTTCTTGCTCTATCCCCTCCATGGTGAACAACAGTATACCCTACTAAGACACAGCCTACTGACACCAAGCTGTCCTTGCTCTATCACCTCAATGCTGAACGACAGGATACCCTACTAAGACAGCCTACTGACATCAAACTTTCCTTGCGCTATCCCCTCAATGCTGAACAACAGTATACCCTACTAAGACACCGCCTACTGACACCAAGCTGTCTTTGCTCTCTCCTCTCAATGCTGAACAACATGATACCCTACTAAGACACAACCAACTGACACCAAGCTGTCCTTGACCTATCACCTCAATGCTGAACAACATGATGCCCTACTAAGACACAACCAACTGACACCAAGCTGTCCTTGCTCTATCCCCTGAATGCTGTACAACATGATGCCCTACTAAGACACAACCAACTTACACCATGCTGTCCTTGCTCTATCCCCTCAATGGTGAACAACATGATACCCTATGAAGACACAACCTACTGGCACCAAACCGTCCTTGCTCTATCCCCTCAATGCTGAACAACAGGATACCCTACAAAGACACAGCCGACTGACACCAAGCTGCCCTTGTTCCATCCCCTCCATGCTGAACAACAGGATACCCTACTAAGACACAGCCTACTGGCACCAAACTGTCCTTGCTCTATCCCCTCAATGCTGAACAACATGATACCTTACTTAGACAGAACCAACTGACACCAAGCTGTCGTTGCTCTATCCCCTCAATGCTGAACAACATGACGCCCTACTAACACACGGCCTACTGACACCAAGTTGTCCTTGCTCTGTCCCCTCAATGCTGAACAACAGGATGCCCTACTAAGACACAGCCTACTGACACCAAGCTGTCGTTGCTCTATCCCCTCAATACAGAACAACATGATGCCCTACTAAGACACAACCAACTGACACCAAGCTGTCCTTGCTCTATCCCCTGAATGCTGTACAACATGATGCCCTACTAAGACACAACCAACTGACACCAAGCTGTCCTTGCTCTATCCCCTCAATGCTGAACAACATGATACCCTACTAAGACACAGCCTACTGACACCAAGCTGTCGTTGCTCTATCCCCTCAATGGTGAACAACATGATACCCTACTAAGACACAGCCTACTGACACCAAGCTGTCCTTCCTCTATCCCCTCAATGCTGAACAACAGTATACTCTACTAATACACAGCCTACTGACACCAAACTGTCCTTGCTCTATCCCCTCAATGCTGAACAACAGGATATCCTGCTAAGACACAGCTTACTAACACCAAGCTGTCCTTGATCTATCCCCTCAATGCTGAACAACAGGAAACCCTACTAAGACACAGCCTACTGACACCAAGCTGCCCTTGCTCTATCCCCTCAATGCTGAACAACATGATGCCCTACTAAGACAAAGCCTACTGACACCAAGCTGGCCTTGCTCTATCCCCTCAATGCTGAATAACAGGACACCCTACTGAGACAAGGTCTACTGACACCAAGCTGTTCTTGCTCTTTCCCGTCAATGGTGAACAACACGATACCCTACTAAGACACAACCGACTTGCACCAAGCTGTCCTTGCTCTATCCCCTCAATGCTGAACAACAGGATACCCTACTAACACAAGGCCTACTGACACCAAGGTTTCCTTGCTCTATCCCCTCAATGGTGAACAACAGGATACCCTACTAACACAAGGCCTACTGACACCAAGGTTTCCTTGCGCTATCCCCTCAATGCTGAACAACAGGATACCGTACTAAGACACAGCCTACTGACACCAAGCTGTCCTTGCTCTATCCCCTCAATGCTGAACAACAGGATACCCTACTAAGATACAACCGACTGGCACCAAGCTGTCCTTGCTCTATCCCCTCAATGCTGAACAACATGATGCCCTACTAAGACGGAGCCTTCTGACACCAAGCTGTTCTTGCTCTATCCCCTCCATGGTGAACAACAGTATACCCTACTAAGACACAGCCTACTGACACCAAGCTGTCCTTGCTCTATCCCCTCAATGCTGAACAACAGGATACCCTACTAAGACAGCCTACTGACATCAAACTTTCCTTGCGCTATCCCCTCAATGCTGAACAACAGGATACCGTACTAAGACACAGCCTACTGACACCAAGCTGTCCTTGCTCTATCCCCTCAATGCTGAACAACAGGATACCCTACTAAGACACAACCGACTGGCACCAAGCTGTCCTTGCTCTATCCCCTCAATGCTGAACAACATGATGCCCTACTAAGACGGAGCCTTCTGACACCAAGCTGTTCTTGCTCTATCCCCTCCATGGTGAACAACAGTATACCCTACTAAGACACAGCCTACTGACACCAAGCTGTCCTTGATCTATCACCTCAATTCTGAACGACAGGATACCCTACTAAGACAGCCTACTGACATCAAACTTTCCTTGCGCTATCCCCTCAATGCTGAACAACAGTATACCCAACTAAGACACAGCCTACTGACACCAAGCTGTCTTTGCTCTCTCCTCTCAATGCTGAACAACATGATATCCTACTAAGACACAACCAACTGATACCAAGCTGTCCTTGATCTATCACCTCAATACTGAACAACATGATGCCCTACTAAGACACAGCCTACTGACACCAAGCTGTCCTTGCTCTATCCCCTGAATGCTGAACAACAGGATACCCTACTAAGACACAACCGACTGGCACCAAGCTGTCCTTGCTCTATCCCCTCGATGCTGAACAACATGATGCCCTACTAAGACGGAGCCTTCTGACACCAAGCTGTTCTTGCTCTATCCCCTCCATGGTGAACAACAGTATGCCCTACTGAGACACAGCCTACTGACACCAAGCTGTCTTTGCTCTCTCCTCTCAATGCTGAACATCATGATACCTTACTAAGACACAACCAACTGACACCAAGCTGTCCTTGCTCTATCACCTCAATGCTGAACAACATGATGCCCTACTAAGACACAGCCTACTGACACCAAGCTGTCCTTGCTCTATCCCCTCAATGCTGAACAACAGGATACCCTACTAAGACACAGCCTACTGACACCAAGCTATCCTTGCTCTATCCTCTCAATGCTGAACAACAGGATACCCTACTAAGACACAGCCTACTGACACCAAGCTGTCCTTGATCTATCCCCTCAATGCTGAACAACAGGATACCCTACTAAGACACATCCTACTGACACCAAGATGTCCTTGCTCTATCCCCTCAATGCTGAACAACAGAATACCCTACTAAGGCACAGCCTACTAACACCAAGCTGTCCTTGCTCTATCCCCTCAATGCTTAACAACAGGATACCCTACTAAGACACAGCCAACTGACACCAAGCTGCCCTTGCTCTATCCCCTCAATGCTGGACAGCAGGATACCCTACTAACACACCGCCTACTGACACCAAGCTGTCCTTGCGCTATCCCCTCAATGCTGAACAACAGGATACCATACTAAGACACAGCCTACTGACACCAAGCTGTCCTTGCTCTATCCCCTCAATGCTGAACAACAGGATACCCTACTAAGACACAACCGACTGGCACCAAGCTGTCCTTGCTCTATCCCCTCAATGCTGAACAACATGATGCCCTACTAAGACGGAGCCTTCTGACACCAAGCTGTTCTTGCTCTATCCCCTCCATGGTGAACAACAGCATACCCTACTAAGACAGCCTACTGACATCAAACTTTCCTTGCGCTATCCCCTCAATGCTGAACAACAGTATACCCTACTAAGACACAGCCTCCTAACACCAAGCTGTCTTTGCTCTCTCCTCTCAATGCTGAACAACATGATATCCTACTAAGACACAACCAACTGACACCAAGCTGTCCTTGATCTATCACCTCAATACTGAACAACATGATGCCCTACTAAGACACAGCCTACTGACACCAAGCTGTCCTTGCAATATCCCCTCAATGCTGAACGACAGGATACCCTACTAAGACAGCCTACTGACATCAAACTTTCCTTCCGCTATCTCCTCAATGCTGAACAACAGGATACCGTACTAAGACACAGCCTACTGACACCAAGCTGTCCTTGCTCTATCCCCTCAATGCTGAACAACAGGATACCCTACTAAGACACAACCGACTGGCACCAAGCTGTCCTTGCTCTATCCCCTCGATGATGAACAACATGATGCCCTACTAAGACGGAGCCTTCTGACACCAAGCTGTTCTTGCTCTATCCCCTCCATGGTGAACAACAGTATGCCCTACTAAGACACAGCCTACTGACACCAAGCTGTCTTTGCTCTCTCCTCTCAATGCTGAACATCATGATACCCTACTAAGACACAACCAACTGACACCAAGCTGTCCTTGCTCTATCACCTCAATGCTGAACAACATGATACCCTACTAAGACACAGCCTACTGACACCAAGCTGTCCTTGCTCTATCCCCTCAATGCTGAACAACAGGATACCCTACTAAGACAGCCTACTTATATCAATCTGTCCTTACGCTATCCCCTCAATGCTGAATAACAGGATTCCGTACGAAGACACAGCCTACTGACACCAAGCTGTCCTTGCTCTATCCCTCAATCCTGAACAACAGGATATCCTGCTAAGACACAGCCTACTGACATTTTAAGCTGTCCTTGCTCTATCCCTCAATGCTGAACAACAGTATACCCTACTAAGACAGAGCCTACTGACACCAAGCTGTCCTTGCTCTGTCCCCTCAATGCTGAACAACATGATGCCCTACTAAGACACAGTCTACTGACACCAACCTATCCTTGCTCTATCCCCTCAATGCTGAAGAACAGGACACCCTACTAAGACACAGCCTACTGACACCAAGCTGTCCTTGCTCTATCCCCTCAATGCTGAACAACAGGATACCCTACTAAGACACAGCCTACTGACACCAAGCTGTCCTTGCTCTATCCTCTCAATGCTGAACAACAGGATACCCTACTAAGACACAGCCTACTGACACCAAGCTGTCCTTGCTCTATCCCCTCAATGCTGAACAACAGGATACCCTACTAAGACACATCCTACTGACACCAAGATGTCCTTGCTCTATCCCCTCAATGCTGAACAACAGGATACCCTACTAAGGCACAGCCTACTAACACCAAGCTGTCCTTGCTCTATCCTCTCAATGCTTAACAACAGGATACCCTACTAAGACACAGCCAACTGACACCAAGCTGCCCTTGCTCTATCCCTCAATGCTGGACAGCAGGATACCCCTACTAACACACCGCCTACTGACACCAAGCTGTCCTTGCTCTATCCCCTCAATGCTGAACAACAGGATATCCTGCTAAGACACCGCCTACTGACACGCGAAGCTGTCCTTGCTCTATCCCTCAATGCTGAACAACAGGATACCCTACTAAGACACAACCGACTGGCACCAAGCTGTCCTTGTTCTATCCCCTCGATGCTGAACAACATGATGCCCTACTAAGACGGAGACCTTCTGACACCAAGCTGTTCTTGCTCTATCCCCTCCATGGTGAACAACAGTATACCCTACTAAGACACAGCCTACTGACACCAAGCTGTCCTTGATCTATCACCTCAATGCTGAACGACAGGATACCCTACTAAGACAGCTTACTGACATCAAACTTTCCTTGCGCTATCCCCTCAATGCTGAACAACAGTATACCCTACTAAGACACAGCCTACTAACACCAAGCTGTCTTTGCTCTCTCCTCTCAATGCTGAACAACATGATATCCTACTAAGACACAACCAACTGACACCAAGCTGTCCTTGATCTATCACCTCAATACTGAACAACATGATGCCCTACTAAGACACAGCCTACTGACACCAAGCTGTCCTTGCAATATCCCCTCAATGCTGAACGACAGGATACCCTACTAAGACAGCCTACTGACATCAAACTTTCCTTGCGCTATCCCCTCAATGCTGAACAACAGGATACCGTACTAAGACACAGCCTACTGACACCAAGCTGTCCTTGCTCTATCCCCTCAATGCTGAACAACAGGATACCCTACTAAGACACAACCGACTGCCACCAAGCTGTCCTTGCTCTATCCCCTCGATGCTGAACAACATGATGCCCTACTAAGACGGAGCCTTCTGACACCAAGCTGTTCTTGCTCTATCCCCTCCATGGTGAACAACAGTATACCCTACTAAAACACTGCCTACTGACACCAAGCTGTCTTTGCTCTCTCCTCTCAATGCTGAACATCATGATACCCTACTAAGACACAACCAACTGACACCAAGCTGTCCTTGCTCTATCACCTCAATGCTGAACAACATGATGCCCTACTAAGACACAGCCTACTGACAGCAAGCTGTCCTTGCTCTATCCCCTCAATGCTGAACAACAGGATACCCTACTAAGACAGCCTACTGACATCAAACTGTCCTTACGCTATCCCCTCAATGCTGAATAACAGGATTCGTGACGAAGACACAGCCTACTGACACCAAGCTGTCCTTGATCTATCCCCTCAATGCTGAACAACAGCATACCCTACGAAGACGCAACCGACTGGCACCAAGGTGTCCTTGCTCTATCCCCTCAATGCTGAACAACAGGATACCCTACTAAGACAGCCTACTGACATCAAACTGTCCTTGCGCTATCCCCTCAATGCTGAACAACAGGATACCGTACTAAGACACAGCCTACTGACTACAAGCTGTCCTTGCTCCATCCCCTCAATGCTGAACAACAGGATACCCTACTAAGACACAACCGACTGGCACCAAGCTGCCCTTGCTCTATCGCTTCAATGCTGAACAACATGATACCCTACTAAGACACAGCCTACTGACAGCAAGCTGTCCTTGCTCTATCCCCTCAATGCTGAACAACATGATGCCCTACTAAGACACAGTCTACTGACACCAACCTATCCTTGCTCTATCCCCTCAATGCTGAACAACAGGACACCCTACTAAGGCACAGCCTACTGACACCAAGCTGTCCTTGCTCTATCCCCTCAATGCTGAACAAAAGGATACCCTACTAAGACACAGCCTTCTGACACCAAGCTGTCCTTGCTCTATCCTCTCAATGCTGAACAACATGATATCCTACTAAGACACAACCAACTGACACCAAGCTGTCCTTGATCTATCACCTCAATACTGAACAACATGATGCCCTACTAAGACACAGCCTACTGACACCAAGCTGTCCTTGCTCTATCCCCTCAATGCTGAACAACAGGATACCCTACTAAGACACAACCGACTGGCACCAAGCTGTCCTTGCTCTATCCCCTCGATGCTGAACAACATGATGCCCTACTAAGACGGAGCCTTCTGACACCAAGCTGTTCTTGCTCTATCCCCTCCATGGTGAACAACAGTATGCCCTACTGAGACACAGCCTACTGACACCAAGCTGTCTTTGCTCTCTCCTCTCAATGCTGAACATCATGATACCCTACTAAGACACAACCAACTGACACCAAGCTGTCCTTGCTCTATCACCTCAATGCTGAACAACATGATGCCCTACTAAGACACAGCCTACTGACACCAAGCTGTCCTTGCTCTATCCCCTCAATGCTGAACAACAGGATACCCTACTAAGACACAGCCTACTGACACCAAGCTATCCTTGCTCTATCCTCTCAATGCTGAACAACAGGATACCCTACTAAGACACAGCCTACTGACACCAAGCTGTCCTTGATCTATCCCCTCAATGCTGAACAACAGGATACCCTACTAAGACACATCCTACTGACACCAAGATGTCCTTGCTCTATCCCCTCAATGCTGAACAACAGAATACCCTACTAAGGCACAGCCTACTAACACCAAGCTGTCCTTGCTCTATCCCCTCAATGCTTAACAACAGGATACCCTACTAAGACACAGCCAACTGACACCAAGCTGCCCTTGCTCTATCCCCTCAATGCTGGACAGCAGGATACCCTACTAACACACCGCCTACTGACACCAAGCTGTCCTTGCGCTATCCCCTCAATGCTGAACAACAGGATACCATACTAAGACACAGCCTACTGACACCAAGCTGTCCTTGCTCTATCCCCTCAATGCTGAACAACAGGATACCCTACTAAGACACAACCGACTGGCACCAAGCTGTCCTTGCTCTATCCCTCAATGCTGAACAACATGATGCCCTACTAAGACGGAGCCTTCTGACACCAAGCTGTTCTTGCTCTATCCCCTCCATGGTGAACAACAGCATACCCTACTAAGACAGCCTACTGACATCAAACTTTCCTTGCGCTATCCCCTCAATGCTGAACAACAGTATACCCTACTAAGACACAGCCTCCTAACACCAAGCTGTCTTTGCTCTCTCCTCTCAATGCTGAACAACATGATATCCTACTAAGACACAACCAACTGACACCAAGCTGTCCTTGATCTATCACCTCAATACTGAACAACATGATGCCCTACTAAGACACAGCCTACTGACACCAAGCTGTCCTTGCAATATCCCCTCAATGCTGAACGACAGGATACCCTACTAAGACAGCCTACTGACATCAAACTTTCCTTCCGCTATCTCCTCAATGGTGAACAACAGGATACCGTACTAAGACACAGCCTACTGACACCAAGCTGTCCTTGCTCTATCCCCTCAATGCTGAACAACAGGATACCCTACTAAGACACAACCGACTGGCACCAAGCTGTCCTTGCTCTATCCCTCGATGATGAACAACATGATGCCCTACTAAGGCCAGCCTTCTGACACCAAGCTGTTCTTGCTCTATCCCCTCCATGGTGAACAACAGTATGCCCTACTAAGACACAGCCTACTGACACCAAGCTGTCTTTGCTCTCTCCTCTCAATGCTGAACATCATGATACCCTACTAAGACACAACCAACTGACACCAAGCTGTCCTTGCTCTATCACCTCAATGCTGAACAACATGATACCCTACTAAGACACAGCCTACTGACACCAAGCTGTCCTTGCTCTATCCCCTCAATGCTGAACAACAGGATACCCTACTAAGACAGCCTACTTATATCAATCTGTCCTTACGCTATCCCCTCAATGCTGAATAACAGGATTCCGTACGAAGACACAGCCTACTGACACCAAGCTGTCCTTGCTCTATCCCCTCAATCCTGAACAACAGGATATCCTGCTAAGACACCGCCTACTGACACGAAGCTGTCCTTGCTCTATCCCCTCAATGCTGAACAACAGTATACCCTACTAAGACAGAGCCTACTGACACCAAGCTGTCCTTGCTCTGTCCCCTCAATGCTGAACAACATGATGCCCTACTAAGACACAGTCTACTGACACCAACCTATCCTTGCTCTATCCCCTCAATGCTGAAGAACAGGACACCCTACTAAGACACAGCCTAATGACACCAAGCTGTCCTTGCTCTATCCCCTCAATGCTGAACAACAGGATACCCTACTAAGACACAGCCTACTGACACCAAGCTGTCCTTGCTCTATCCTCTCAATGCTGAACAACAGGATACCCTACTAAGACACAGCCTACTGACACCAAGCTGTCCTTGCTCTATCCCCTCAATGCTGAACAACAGGATACCCTACTAAGACACATCCTACTGACACCAAGATGTCCTTGCTCTATCCCCTCAATGCTGAACAACAGGATACCCTACTAAGGCACAGCCTACTAACACCAAGCTGTCCTTGCTCTATCCTCTCAATGCTTAACAACAGGATACCCTACTAAGACACAGCCAACTGACACCAAGCTGCCCTTGCTCTATCCCCTCAATGCTGGACAGCAGGATACCCTACTAACACACCGCCTACTGACACCAAGCTGTCCTTGCTCTATCCCCTCAATGCTGAACAACAGGATATCCTGCTAAGACACCGCCTACTGACACGAAGCTGTCCTTGCTCTATCCCCTCAATGCTGAACAACAGGATACCCTACTAAGACACAACCGACTGGCACCAAGCTGTCCTTGCTCTATCCCCTCGATGCTGAACAACATGATGCCCTACTAAGACGGAGCCTTCTGACACCAAGCTGTTCTTGCTCTATCCCCTCCATGGTGAACAACAGTATACCCTACTAAGACACAGCCTACTGACACCAAGCTGTCCTTGATCTATCACCTCAATGCTGAACGACAGGATACCCTACTAAGACAGCTTACTGACATCAAACTTTCCTTGCGCTATCCCCTCAATGCTGAACAACAGTATACCCTACTAAGACACAGCCTACTAACACCAAGCTGTCTTTGCTCTCTCCTCTCAATGCTGAACAACATGATATCCTACTAAGACACAACCAACTGACACCAAGCTGTCCTTGATCTATCACCTCAATACTGAACAACATGATGCCCTACTAAGACACAGCCTACTGACACCAAGCTGTCCTTGCAATATCCCCTCAATGCTGAACGACAGGATACCCTACTAAGACAGCCTACTGACATCAAACTTTCCTTGCGCTATCCCCTCAATGGTGAACAACAGGATACCGTACTAAGACACAGCCTACTGACACCAAGCTGTCCTTGCTCTATCCCCTCAATGCTGAACAACAGGATACCCTACTAAGACACAACCGACTGCCACCAAGCTGTCCTTGCTCTATCCCCTCGATGCTGAACAACATGATGCCCTACTAAGACGGAGGCTTCTGACACCAAGCTGTTCTTGCTCTATCCCCTCCATGGTGAACAACAGTATACCCTACTAAAACACTGCCTACTGACACCAAGCTGTCTTTGCTCTCTCCTCTCAATGCTGAACATCATGATACCCTACTAAGACACAACCAACTGACACCAAGCTGTCCTTGCTCTATCACCTCAATGCTGAACAACATGATGCCCTACTAAGACACAGCCTACTGACAGCAAGCTGTCCTTGCTCTATCCCCTCAATGCTGAACAACAGGATACCCTACTAAGACAGCCTACTGACATCAAACTGTCCTTACGCTATCCCCTCAATGCTGAATAACAGGATTCCGTACGAAGACACAGCCTACTGAC